TTTGTACCTGTGAGCTATGCTCTCCCTGGAATTCATGTAATCGACTCCGCTTGCTGCCTTCTTTAAACCTACGGGGAGTCTCGGGACGCTACAGTACTGCTAATCACAAAAAAATATCATATGTACTCCCTCCCCGTCCCTGCAGCGCTTTTCACGGAGAAAATCACCTCCTGTGAAACTAGCTAGAGAGAATTCAGAGAACGGGTGGGAAAATCAGAATGCCCCCATTCAATTTCGAGAAACATTTTGGGACATTCGTGATTGCAATGCTTTGTTTATGTGACTCTAACGTTCGGTGGCCTTCAGGGTATGCTCAGGCCCATTCGTTCTGTTCTCTTCGGAATACGTGTATCCAGCCACATTTACTGCCTTCTTCCACCCTATGGGAAGTCTCGAGACGTTACGGTGACGTCTTGAAACCTCCCTTTTGGTGGTGGAAATCATTTGACGTAGTCGAATATTTGCATTTAGGGGAAAAGAAAATGCGGAGCTCCGGCTTAGCTCAACAACCAGCCCGTCCAGGTAGGGGCACGCTTAACACAGAAGTGGCCATGGTAGTCCCAAAATAAAAACAAATATGAAAGTGAACTATGTGGGATCACTGCAACCAGATCCTTAGTTCTCGGAGGAAGTTAGTCTAAAATCGAAGCATCAAGCAGTAACACAGTTTGTGCGAGGAAGTTCTCACGACAATGCTATCTAGTCATCCAAAGTGACTCATTGTGCTCAGCAGCCGTCACCATGTGCAGTCGAACTAGTCAGTTTCAGTGAAACACCTACAAAAAATGCCTCATCAAATATTTAAAAATGGCATGAACATTCCATACTTCGTTTGATTTGAAAAGTGATCTTATTAGTATCTCATAAGTACTTCTGCGTTACTGAAATGATTAAATGCATGCAATTACGATGTGTAAATAGAAAAGATGTTTGATTAAACATAGCCCAAGAGTAAATAAAAACCGTAATGTAAGAAAATCAAGAGGAAATATCCAATCCTTATCCAGAAAAGACATGTCGCTTGTCTCTTCGAGAACTAACTTTCGTCCCAATTCTCACCTCTGACCTACAAGATACATTAAGGCAACTGATGCGCAGCACTTAGCTTTCCTTTTTTCGAGTACTCTCTCCGTTACTAGCCGCGAGGATTCCTCCTAGGTCACTTAGTTATTTTTTCTGCCATACCATAGATTTCGACCTAATACCAAATTGGTTAAGGGAGAGAGGTGCTTGTGAGAGCCGTCTTCGATTGTGCCAAAGCGATGTACGTTGGGTTCGGGGCTCCGCATCTTAGATGAGGCAATTCTTAGGTGAGCAACTTGAAAGGCGAGATTTTATTCAAAGTGTAGACGATAGCCCGGTACGCGAGGAAAGCACGACCTAAGTGCATATTTCAGTCGTTGGATTGTGCGCCTTTGATAAAAGCCTTCAGAAGCTCATCAAGAATACAACGAGCGGTCTTCACTTGCTCGTTTATCTGAGGTCACTACGGCATCGTGAACATTTTCCATATACCTGAAGTTTATCACGAACTTCCGGAATTAGGATCCTGTTCTCTATGAATGGATTCACCCATTCTTTGTTGGCTTATCCAACGGTTGAAGAAAGTCGTAGCTTTTAGGCCTTCTGTCACAGCTTCTTTAGTGGAGTAGTCAGTCATCCCCACAATGCACCTATTCCTTCTCTCGGCTGTTCAGAATGGCTTACTTTGCTTATGTCCACAATATCGGCTGGAACTTTCGCAACCAATTACTCTGCATGAACAGCAGAGATCGGAAAAATCAGAAACAATGGTGGCCCCCAATATTTCTTCCTCAATGTCACCGTTATCTTCCCTGAGCTCACGTGGTGCAGTTCCTCGTACAACTCACGATTGGTTGTTTGTACCAGTGATCGGGACATACAACATTGTTCTGATACCGTAAAACCGCATCTTCCATTAAAATTTTTGATAAGTTCAGACATACTGGCTCTGTTGTCTTGCTAGTTGAGCTTATCGCCTCGGCTATGGCCTTAGAGAAGGATGTCAGAAGCGTCGCATATAAAAGTTCCACTCTGCATAACTTTCCAGTAATGGCTAATGAGGAGTGAATGTAAGTTAGCATATTCGCACTTCCTTTTCTGCAATGAACTGTAAGAGGAGCATTGATTTAGCTGCCCGCATCAGGGCGCAAATAAACGGCTATTTAAATTCAGAGTATTCTACCAAATCAATGCTTGGTAGTTCTTACAACCAGCTCGCTTTTGCTTGCACATTTCTACCTCACTTTTGTTTGATTGGGAACCCATTGATTTTCACAATTACAAGTTTCTCCGCCAGGTAGGGCAGAGGAATTCCGAAAATTATTCTTTCAAAGCTAAAAAGCGACTTTAAGCTCATGAAACTATTGAGCCTTTAGCAAACACGCAAATAAAAGCAACGAATATTAATTTCGTGATTCAGTAAAGAATTTATTAAAAATGGTGCAAAAAATACGAAATCTCATGTACCTAAAAACGAACAATTACAGAAAACTTTAAAAATTATACACATACATAGAGTATACATCTATTAGATAAAACCTTCAACTCCTCCACTCCAGAAGGTCTTAAAACGACGTCTGTATCTGCTATAGACCGCAATCCTGTCTTCCACAGGCAGGCTAAAAGTAACTTCAGCGACACCGCTGTTAACCATCTGAAAAGGTCCTGTTTTGGAGTTCTCTGTACCGCATTTGCACATATGTGCTGGCCATGACGTTACGCCGAACTTCCTCCCACACAAAACCGTGTTCGATCCCGTCCCCCTTTCATGAATCGGATTTGGATCAGTGTTGTTGAAACGTCTGTGTCTGAACACAATTTGTGGTCAGCAGAAGTACTCGTCCCTGGTTTCTGTTTGTCAGGCCAAACGTGACTGTAGATCTAGTCGAGGCTGCTGAGGGAGTGAAGTACCCTCCCTCAGTCTCGGACAGGTACGACTGAATCGTGGGCGTTTCCTTGCGGCATCGAATGCATTGTGATGGCTGGAGTGGAAGACGCCTGGCAGAGAGCGATGGTGAAGTTGTTCAAAAGGGAGAGGGAGAACGCAACACTTCGTGTGTTCGACTGTTTGCATGTCTGGCGGAGACTTTGAAATTCATCGTGCCCATGTCCGGGTGAGCTAACCATCGTGGCACTGAATACATTTATTTGGCACTAATTAGTGAATTATACCATTTAATATAATATACACTAAAGTGTATAAGTTTACCTTTATAGGAGTAGGCGGGAAGTTAACTCGAACGTGAATGCGGCGCGTGAGAATCGTGAGGACACCGTCTCTGGATGGTATCCGTTATCAGTCTTATCTATACTTCCTATACCCATTCTTTCTTTATACAAGGCTTAATAAAGCTAACGCAATTAACCCTCTCTTAAAGTCCGAGGTTCAAGGGCATGAGGGTTGTGTAAGGCTTTGTTTATGTGACTACCTGACGTTCGACGGTCGCTCTGAGGATTATCTGGTCCTTGTATTCGTGGGCTGGCCTTCGGGCCATGCTCAGGCCCATTTACCCTATTCTCTTCAGAATACATAAATTAATCCTCATTTTATACCCTTTTTCATCCCACGGGAAGCCTCGGGACGCCACAGGTTGGAGTTTACTAACAAGCATTTTGCCGCCTGATGGTTATGAAACTAATCGAACTCCTATGTTTTTCCCCAATATGCGGCTGGTAACGTCCCATTATTTAACAATATGTAGCAGCAGCCACTATATAAAATTGATTGGTTCTTATGTTAAGAATAGAAAGAGATCTGGTTTAGCTTTTCCGTAAGACCATCCTGTGCAGGATAAAGAAATGTGAATATGAAAAGTGGCCAGTCACATTAACAACTTGTTACACCAGTTATCTGGTTCATCTTCCTATAGTCATTACGCAAACAAGAGACCCACGAGGAATAATATATATTGTGCAAGGATGTGAGACAAATGCTCATCAAACTATATGTCACCTGGGCTTCAGCTCTCAAGAAAAGGTTAAAACAAACTTTAAACATGCGAAACTTCTATGTAAAATTTATCAACGACAAAATACTTCTTCTTCGTGATAAAAAATCAAAACTTTAATTGTGGTTAAAACATGGATTCGCCATTATTATTTTTGTTTGTTATAATAAACAAAAATCTGGTTGGGGTGGTGCTAATTCGAAAGCCTTCTTTCTGCCATCGTGTTGGATATATTTCGCGTTAGTTTGAAAAATTTTACTGACATATTTTCTTGCTCTCGATCCCTTTGTGTTTCCGCTTTTTGTTGCAAACTTAGCTTTTTTACTTCCTTCTCATCGTCTTCAGCTTAACTCTAAGATCAAGTTTGTAGTCCCTAAATTTAATGTTGGCTAGTAAGATCGCTTGTCCCCTTGATATTATGTTGTGCTGCATTGCTTGAACCCGCCCTACTGACTTCAAGACTTGGTACTGGAAGCATTGTATTGGTTCGAGCTCTGACCTGCCTGTAGTTAAATATCGGCTTCGGGCTTTGGTTGATGCAATTATTATTTTTTCCCCTACTTTTGGAGTGAGCTATTTTGTTTCTGCCATACTTCGACGGCTTTGGTAGTGATCGCAGCCCATTATTGTTTAATCTATGACTTTAATTCAGTCGTGTACTAGAATTCCCCTATATGGCTCTTCATTCAAGGCTATTTACGCCATTTTTGTTCCTGTATGACAGTTTTGCCAACTAATTGCAAGTTTTATCTCTAGGTATGGTTTCTTAACCATACCTCTCTTGAATTTTCCTATTATTGCTTTATTGCCTGTTTGTTTCCACCTATTAATTCCATATTCTGTCTCATTATGTGGCTCGTAGATATCTTTTGTTCACTGCTGAAGTATTTCTGAAGTAATTTATTCATAGTTACGTGCTTCTGCACGACCCATTGTCCTCACCATTCTTGCAGGTTAACCTTTGTCACTCAGCTTAATTGGTTCGCTCGTCATTGGCCTCAAGTTTTGCATGCGTTCAAAAGGGGAATATATTCTGCACCGGTGGGTTTTCGCACATTTTACTTCACTTAGCATGTTTCTTTTCAGCTCTCATCTCCTTATTCGTCAAGTTACAATGAGTGAATTAGACCAACTTCGGCAGGAGAGCGAGCAACTGAAAAATCAAATTAGGGTTTGTTCCATTTCTTGGCTTGCGTCTTTTTGGTTTAGGGCTAGGTTGTTGCTCCTTTTATTTGTCGGAGCGTTTCCATAATTTGTGGCTAATTAATTCGTTGTACTGGTCTAGACTTTTAAGTCTCATCACAGCTTTCTTTACCATGCGTAGGAAGCACGCAAGGTTGCCGCAGATACAACGCTGGCGCAGGCGGCAGCTAATGTGGACCCTGTCGGTCGCATCCAAATGCGCACGCGTCGCACCCTCAGGGGCCATCTCGCTAAAATCTACGCGATGCATTGGGCCACGGATTCGCGTAACCTAGTCTCCGCCTCACAAGACGGCAAGCTCATTGTTTGGGACGGCTACACCACTAACAAGGTGTGTTCCAAAATATCCAAAGTCCGCGGTCGTGATCTTGTATCCATCCTTTGATGTTTGGTCCCTATAAGCACTAGATCCTTTTTGAGTAGGTTGCCATTCTAGCTTTCTTAGCGCTGGTAGTCCGTATTTTTGTGCAAATATCGCGGTCAAAACGTAGGCAACAGCCGTTTACAGCCAACTAGCCAGCCACGTATAATTGTGGTCTCGCCAAAAGCTCGTGCATATGCACGAGCCTGTATATTTAATGCGTGGTTGCATGTGCACACTTGTGTGTTTCGCCTAACGATGGTAAGAATTTGTGCATTATGCTAATTTGCTTAGAGAAGTGGTCTTTCTCTACCTGTCTTTGAAGGAGGCCTTTCTCCATCTTCTTTCTAACAACAACGATGAGAGGTAATTCACTATGGTGTCTGTTCGCTGTTTCTCTCTTCCGTGTTAATCCAAACCTTACCCTTACTTGAGGATGCCTGAACTATCAACGGTTTTTAAAAGGTGCATGCGATACCCCTGAGGAGCAGCTGGGTGATGACATGTGCTTACGCGCCGTCAGGGAGTTACGTGGCCTGCGGCGGCTTGGACAACATTTGCTCTATCTACTGTCTCAAGACCCGTGAGGGCAATGTCCGAGTCAGTCGTGAACTACCTGGACATACGGGCTACCTTTCCTGCTGTCGCTTCCTCGACGACAACCAGATTGTTACCAGCTCCGGAGATGTTACTTGGTGCGCCAGATCTCTTTCTTTGCATAACCCTCGGCTGATTTGCAGTGGATCTGTTTATGTTCGTTGCATTTTGCCTAAAAGAACCATGCTATTACTTCAACTATTTGATTGCTGTCAAAGGCTACAATTCGGCTCGCTCTATTCGTCTTAGCCCCTGGCTCTGTTAGTCTGGAACGGGTGTTTTATCGTTGCACTTTTATTCGCTCTGCCATTGGTCAAGTGTAGATGATTTTTGTTGAAGTGCGCCGTTCCGGTATCCACATGTGCAGTAGTTCTTGTTCGAAAATCCTTACTAATTTTGAAGAGGTGTACTATTTCGGATCCCTTATATGTATACTGAATCTGAAAAGTAGTAAAGTAAGGTGGGTGGTTCTTCGAAATTCATTGCTGATCGACAAAAATGTTTCAAAGGGGTTATCTTAATCTCTGTGATACAATCATTTCCCTATTTAAGTCACGTACTCATCAGACCTCTTAGAGTCTAACGGTCTGAAACTGGATGTAATAGGCTCATGATTTCATTACCACTATATCTGTGTCTAGCGCTCTATGGGACATCGAAACGGGCCAACAAGTATGCGGCTTCACTGGTCACACTGGCGATGTTATGAGCCTCAGCCTCTCTCCAGACATGCGCACTTTCGTTTCGGGCGCCTGCGACGCTTCCGCTAAGGTCGGTTTTACTCTTCACTTTTGCTCCTCTACCACGTTTATGCCACCTTTTACACCCACCACGAGGCACTGGAAGTTCAAACGGCGGGCAGTTAGACGAAATTGAAGCTAAGCTAAGCTGAGTTAAATGTAACGTCTCGAGTATTCGCGCATATGGGTGTTTATTGGCGTTCTTACTTGCCCATTTGGGGTCAAGCCAAAAATAGTTCTGGTACGTTTTCCTCGTGGTCGCGGTGTTTGTGTGTGCGCATGTGTGCGTATGGAGTTAAAAGCCCGCTCGCCAACACACGCACGCAGGCAAACGCATACGCATGTGCCCCAATCGCTTCTGCCTGCGAAGAGGAGGCTCGGGCCAGGAGAAGGAGGAACACAACCACTACTGCTGCTGTTACGACGACTACGACATCAATTTCCCTAGCCGCGTGCATTACGTGCGCATACGTCTTTGCTGCTGCTTCTGTTACGCCTCTGCATGTACGCGCAGGCACACGCGCTCGTATCGATTGGGCAAGGTGGACGCGCAGGGGAAAGGTAGGTTTGCGTGCTGATGCGCGAGTACGTCTCCGCTGGCCGCGTATTGGCTAGTAGACCATTTGCCCATTGCGCGTGTGTGCGTTCTGTGCTACTGCTGGCATAAGCAAACACTTCTCCCTACTGCTGCTAATGCTGCTCTGTCTTCCCTGCCCCCTTTTTGCTGTTTAGAGGCGAAAAGAGGAGGCGGAGGAGAGGGAGAGTCCTATCTAGGTTGTGTCCAGGCCAGCTGGCGCTTGGCCAGACTCCGCTTCGCATGTCTGCCTGCCTCCTGAGTGCGTGGGTTTGTGTTGTGCGTTCGCGCGGCCATGAGTTCCTACCCATATTTGCTGCTCGAGTAACAGCAGTTACCACTGCTACTAGGGGAACATTTGCGCCTCAAGCTCTGCTCTGCCTTTCCCGATGACGCACCAGGGCTATTATATGCTGCCCACTCACTCCAACTCGGTAGTCTTGAATTGAGAAGGCTTTGTTGGGTCGCCATGGTAATTTGCCAAAGTCTTCCTCTACCTAACTCACAGCTTTGCCCTAGGAAACTACTTCCCCTTAACCGTGACGTCATTTTGCCTACTGGCTTGTGTGTTCTATTGGCATATTCTTAAGTGTTAAATGCTGGGGGTAATTCTCCAATGCAGCTACACTTGTCATTGCTTGGTGGTGAATTAATATGCTTTTGAGCGCGTACAGATTTCCTGTTCGTTGCGTTGTTTCAGACTTAGTTCCTCAGCAGCCGTAAAGCTGAGCTGGATTACTTTGGATCGGTGACTTCCATTGTGAGCTCTCATTTCTGTTTTTAGTAAACATTTACTGTGTCGAGTCGATTTTTCTGAAGCGATAGTTGTTCTTAAGTCGGAGTTTTAAATTTTAGACCATGCCGAATGGAGTACTTTATTTGTTTTGCGCTTTTGTTGAATTCGGCAAGGGAGTTTACGATCTTTCTCTTTTTCATCCTCAAGAAGCTCGGGATTACTTGAATGGGCAACCTATTCAATCAAAGGAGGGTGTTTGGGTAATGGTGTATTGATGCGGCAAGAGTTATTTGAGAAAGTAGCAAGGGCCAGATGGCTTTCACTTCAATCCTACTGAACTTGTTCCTTGAAGAAAGTCCAAAGTATGCCTGATTAGCAGTCTTGAACTCATAAAATTTTCTAAAATACTGTTTCTCTGTTTGAGAAACCCCGGTCCTCGGTCAGTAAACCTAGGTGAAGTTTTGCATAACCAACTTTTGTCAAGGATGATAAATCAGTCACGCTCTTGAATTTATTTCTGTGTTAAAGATAACATTTTGCAAATCCTTTTCTTGCTGCATTTGGTGGTAAGGCCTCCGATTCCCCTATTTCGGTTCTTATGAACGAAACATTGATTTGAGTGGATGTAGAACAGTTGGATTCGGTATGTCTAACGCTAATGTTTTCAAATTTGGGCATACTTTGGCTTACTTTTATGGTTTAAGTGAGTACATGGAAGGAACTTTGTGAGCTTTAATGGGTTTGATCTACTTGATTTATGGTTTATTTAATCAACTATCAAACCTCGACCCTAATGTAAATCAGGCTTCATGGGTTTTTCTATTGCAGTTGTGGGACATACGAGACGGTCAGTGTAAGCAGACCTTCCCGGGTCACGAGTCAGATATCAATGCAATCACCTTCTTCCCCAGCGGCTTCGCCTTCGGCACGGGCAGTGATGATGCGACCTGTCGCCTCTTCGACATTCGTGCCGACCAAGAGGTGGGTATGTTTTCACACGACAACATCATCTGCGGCATCACCAGCGTCGCCTTCAGCAAGAGCGGGCGTCTGTTGCTCGGTGGCTACGACGACTTCAATTGCAATGTCTGGGACACGCTCAAGCAAGATCGGGCTGGTCAGTATTCCTTTTTCATACTGGAATAATTTAGTCTGGGCTTCAATTCGGTCTCAACGATTAAGCGTTTTTGTAATTTATTAAAAACTTGAGGACGTGGTTCTTTGTTTGATGCCAAATGAGGGGTAGGCTGGTATGGCCTTTTTTCCTAAGGTGTCTTCTAGACACCTTCTTAACTGGGCTCGTTGACTCGATAATGCTAGGGTTGTTCTTGAATCAAAATTCTGGCATCGTTGTGTTGGTTGCTATTTTCAGATTCGATAAGTGAGCTCGAAAAAAAGCCTGCTGTATGTAGTGTCGGCCAGTGGATTTAATAAGCCTCTTACCGTCTTAATTTTGAAATCCGTTCGACTATCAGTGTGGTCTCGTGATCAAGGCAAGGTTTTACTAGAAATAAGAGCGATTTTACATCACCTAGATATGGTGTGGAGGTCTGTGGGTTAGACAAAATTAGCGCGGATGGAAGTTATATTGCACCAGTTTTAACCATATCGCATTGGAGGTGACTTTGCTTCAGCAATGTGCCTTTAGTGGTTGTCATCATCAGATTATTCTTATAAATGCTTTTAAGTGTATCCATTTGTGGCTTGCATAGTCTCGGAAATAGGGTAGTGCTAAATTTTCGCGTCCACTACTACACACGTGTGTATATGTGCTTGCCGTATTATAGGCGTTCTCGCGGGCCACGATAACCGTGTGAGTTGTCTGGGCGTTTCCGAGGACGGGATGGCAGTTTGCACTGGCTCCTGGGACAGTTTTCTGCGAATTTGGAACTAGACTATTCACACTACCGCCGTCACTACTAATTCAACTGCTACCACTACCGCCACTACAATCACCACTCCTACTGCTGCTGCTGCCGGCGTCTGTCTCAATCTCTCTTCTCAGTGTGTGCGTGTGCATGTGTGTGTGTTCGTGTGATGTGCGCGCTCATTTTCTCCTCGTCCTCCTCTTCAATCTCTGGCTCTCTCATTCAGTCACTCGCTTCGATCACAGTGCATTCTCTGGGGTGATGTTAGCTCGCCTTTCTCATCGAACTACATACGCACACACACACACAC